TGGTTTGGAAGGGACCTTAAAGATCATTTAGTTTCAACCCCCATGTGTGGGCAGGCATGGCATTCACTAGACCAGGTTGCTCAGAACCATATCTAACCTTGAGCACTTGTAGGAATGGGGCATCTACAGCCTCTATCAGCAACCTACCTCAGTGTTTCACCACCCTCCGAGTAAAGAATTTCTTCCTAGCAAAGTGTTGTGGTTTGGCTAAACTATGTCCAGTTTTTCATTGTTACCAGCTTTCTGTGGACAATAGCCACATCTCTTTGCTTGTCTTCAGCACTTCACGCAAAGACTCGATCTGTGATTGCAAAACATTAGAAGTAAATAATAAATTTCTATTGAACTCTCTATAAATCAGCAGAAAGGCATAGAATGAACAAGAAATCCTAAGCAAATGAATATTTAAAATTTTGAATGTGTAAATCTTTATTCGAATAATGTTGTTACACTTATTGTGTGTTTTGCAGCAATTAGCAAAATCAGTTCAGCTGTTGTGGCACAACTAAAAGTAAAAGAATGAGCAATAGACATGTTTGGGATATAATTCAGCTGCCAAATAGAATGCAGAAAGCTCCTGAAAATAGAGTTAAAACTATTTACTGTATGTTCTTTGTTTCTAAAATAAATATTTTTATTAATAAATAATGATTCAAAAGTAGTGTTGGAAGAGAAGATTGGAGTAAATTTTTTGGAAACCTGACTATCCCTTCCTATGATAGGCCACTTCTGCCTTTCCATGTCTATTAAATTAAATTGTGTACATTTTGCTGTTGTAGAACAAAGGAAATGTCAGAAGACTAAATATTTTTAAAACTATATTTTCAGCTTTTCTTCACTAAATCTGCATCAGTCAGACTACATTACACATACTTTTGGAGATAGGTGAGGTTTGCAAGGTTACCTTCTAAATCCTGAGCTAAGCATTTGGTAGTTGAGACCTTTTTCAAAAATGGACTCCTTAAAAAACCCAGCTTATTTCACTAAACGAAGTTCTGTTGAAGAATCTGACACATTATTGCAGAGTTACATTTTCTTTATAACTTTGAGTTTTGTAGAAAAGAAATTATTGTATAATACCACATTCAATGTAAGATGTAAACATATCATTTTTAAGTAGCCTGTACATACTCCTGAATTTTTTCCTTCATGTCCTCTAAGTGAACAAAGAAATATTTTTTTCTGAGATTTGATCTTATCTTTGAAAGAACTTACTCTATGAACGGTGAAACTTGCTGTTTTCCAATGGTTTTGTTGTACTGCTTCCCTTACGTCCTCCAAATTTCTTACTTTTTTTAGCTTCATACTACACCCTACACTGCCTTTCTGACCAGTACATAGTTGTACTATTTGTAATTTTGGGACTAGGCATGGGCTTAACTTGCCATCTAAAATTCATGCTGGTTGACCAACTGATTGGTGTCTCTTAAGATGGATGTGAGCCATTTTAATTGAATTTTAACTGTCTGTCTCTGTGCTGATGTACTAATTTGGGTTCTGACTTTAATCACCAATTTTCATTAAACTTGCAGGAACTGGAAGTCTTTGACAGCTGTCGTATTTGTCTGAAATTAAAAGCTATTGTAGTGGAAAGGCAGATGGTTTGGTCCAGTAAAATTTGTGTCCTGATGAAAATAGAAGCAAACCAAAATCAAAACGAAAACTTTACTTTCCAGTTCTTTCTGAGCTATGGGCTAAATTCTCTGCTAAGTTATGAAAAATTACTTGGTATAGTTTAAAAGAAAAGAAGGAAAATGTATTATTTTATTGTCATGGTTGAACCTCAGCTGGCAACTAAGTACCACACAGCCTCTTGCTCACATCCCCAACCTGCCTCCTGCTTCTGTGGATGGGAAGGGGAGAACTTGGAAGAAGGTACATGTATGTACAGTAGCTTGCTTGAGGCCTTTTGCTTCTTATCCATAGTTGAAAATAAATCTGCTGCTGAAATAGTCTACTTCTGGATTTATGCAGCTCTTTAATATATGGAACTATCATTATAAATGCTAAATAAACAGTTAAAAATCAAGGTCTTGATTCTTCAGTCTGCTAAGATCTCAGAGTTTCCCATAATACAGAGCAACTGTAGAATTTTTACTTACAGCAATAAGTAAAACAATATTCTGCAGTCTGGGGATTTGCAAAGTATGTTTTGGAGGTGTCCAGAAACAAAGTAAGATGATCAGTAATAGCAGAGGGGGATTTTATCTGTAAAAATGCAGTGCATCATTCATGAAGTTGCTGTTATTGGCTGTAATACTTCTCTTTTGCTGTGTGAGATGTGAGATGCATGAAGAGCTCTGAAACAGGTTCAGAAGTTTTGCAAATGCTCAGAAGTCTCTCAAAGTTCTACGCTGAATTGGGCAAACTTGATTTGACCTACAGAGAACCACCATTCATGTTGATAGTGACATGGTAGAATTAATTTATTGTTGTGTGGCATTGTAATACCACCAGCTGCATTACTAAGAGGTGCTTCATTGTGTCCTAAAATGTAACAGAGTTACGTATGCTTTTAAGCCATATATATGTATGTATATATATATATATATACACAAACTGTACTTTAAGGCAAGAAATAATAAATGGATTTAGGTATCCTTGCTGGGGTAAAGAATTAAAAATTCATTTCATGATAAGCTCATAGATGGCAGCAATATTCATGCACTTTTTTTTTTTTCCCCCCCTCTCTCCCTTCCCATCCAGGTGTTTTTCACATAATTGAAATTATCGTAGGACAAATAAGGATAGCAGTGACTTTTACATTCAAAAGCATTTGAGTTGATGCACGATAAAATTCCTCATATGGACTTTTATCCCCCAGGGCTGAACTGGAATAGGTCAGATTTTTAGTTTTTGCAAACTGAATGGAATGATTTCATTTTCATATGGCGTTTCTTAGTCTTTTTTTATTGCTTTGTCAAGTGACTGGAGCATTTTTGTCCTAGTTATCAATTAGAAATTGAAGTTGTCGTGCTGGAAATAAAAACCTCATTTTCATATTTGTCATTATTCTCAGAAGAATGGAAATGTTTAACGTGGTAAAATTGAATATGTCCTTCCTGTTTAATATTCATACTAGAGGCTGAAGACAGTAAGCGTTTAGTTTCATCTTCTGAAACTGTATGCTCTTGGGATTTATGGAATTTGTGTTTTCAGCTGTTTTAAAGTTAAGCTCCAGTGCCCTTCTGTGGAAGCGCTATCCATTAAATGGCTTTTTTTTTCCTGTAAATTTATCTGTATTTTGACTGTGTTGGCAGTGATGCTGTATTATTCTTAGTTGGATAGTTTGCCAGTCTACAGAACTACTAAGGAGATTTATGTACTTTTTTTGAAAAATTTAGTTTCTTCTGAAATATAGCAGTTCCAAAGCATTTTGAGCTATTCTTTTTGTAATTGCATAGTACTGTTACATTTCTGCAGCTACAGTGTTATGCTTCATTTCAGGCTAATGTTCAGTAAGGAACATGATATAAGATTAAAGGTAGTAACAAGTCAGATAGAAGATTGAACTGAACACAAAATGTGTTCCAAGCATGATTTAAACTTTATGATAACATGCTAAACTAAGATTTATGGAATATCATCTAAGAACCTCTTCACGTTAAGCACATCCTAGAAAATATTTGCTGCCTTAACTACTGCTGGTTCAGCTCTCATTGTATTATATGCACTGATTATATGGGCTATTGAATCCTTTTTTCAAAGACATTGCTGCTGGATTCAGTTGATAGAGTTAGTGACAGTAATGACAGCTCCTGCTATATTTAAATGATAGCTGTGTATAGTGTCTCTTGGTGGATAAGAAAAATATTGTACCTATATGTATAGGTAGGGAGAGACTGAAGTGTTTTATTTTCATAAAGCGATAATTTTGTATTGTGGTTATCTTTGTGTGTATATCAGACCAGACCTTTCAGTGTATTGGGCAATTTTTAAAAGAAATCTTAAGAATTATCTTGAGTCTTGGGCAAGCAGACAGATAACCAATACTTCTTTATGTACAAGTCAGAGGTTAGGTGGATAATTGAAGCTTCTTATGTTCATTGTTAGAGGAAACAAAAAGAACTATTGATTGCGAAGATAAGACTGCTTGAAAGAAAGAAAATTTAGCAGCTCTGGCAGTTCTGTCTATACAGAATGATTAATTAAGGGGGTAGCATGGATTGAATAGCCATCTTGGGCAAAGTAATAACACCACGGTTTGATTTTTTAAAAAATGGTAAATATCTACTAATTATAACTGTTATCAATTTTATAATTCTTTCTGTAATATTTTATTTGAAGGAAAGAAGGAAAAATATATTCTGTGACTATAAAGCACCAACTGACTTATGGTCATACAATATCTAGAGTGTCAGCGAGGAAATGCTGGTTTTCAGAGACTAGAAAAGAAAGAAATATTTTAAATTGGTGTCTGTAGTGCAGCCTTTGCTATTTATTGTTCATCCATGGCTTTCAGACTTTCTCATGGCTTTCTTTGCTTTTGCAATGTCTCAAAAACTTGATCGGTTTGCTAGTTCAGAAAATAATTCATGAAAATATTACTAACACATTTCAAGAAATGACTGGTTGTATGTTCATACCACATAAAATCATAAAAAAAGTCATTGTGGTGTAGATCCTGTCAGAATTTAAACCACTGAACTTCTAAAAGTTAAAACTAAGAAATAATTTTGTTATTGGAGAAAAAATAGGAATAGTTCTACCATATAAGTTTTTTGAGGGATGAGGTAAACAGGACATGATGCCTCTGGAGAAAAAAACTGACATAAATAGATCATAGTTTAAAAATCATCACATAGGTAAGAAAACCCATGACATATGCCACTTTGTGGTGCCTACTTGGTTTTCCACTGAGAACTTGTAGAAACACGTTAAACTGAAATCAAAGTCTCAGATGTATTGTGGCTGCATACTCACTTTGTAGATGCCAACTTAAGTAGTCAGAGGGTTTATTTCTGATAGTGAGAACCTTTTCTTTTTCTATTCTTTGACAGCCGCGAGCTGTTGCTGGTTTTCGAGGAACGGTACGATATGCCTCCATCAATGCTCATAGAAACAGAGTGAGTATCTCAATCTGTATCATACCCATCTCATGGAGCTGAAAGCAGTCAGTAGTGCAGTTAGGATTAATTTTCTTTTTTGTATTGTTATCTGCGCATTTATTATGTAGAAAATAATACACATTTTGTAAAAGGATAGTACACAGTAGTTGAGGATAAAAAAATCTTTATTGTATACATAAGCGGTTTTACCTTTGGTGTTCAATGGTATTGTAATTTAATAAATGGTCAAGTTACTGAGTTTTATGAAGTATATAATGTCCAGTATGTTGTCTTGGCATCATATGCTAAAGAAACGTGAATAAACAACTCTCTCAGTGTAGAGAGTCCAATGTTGTTTAACACACTTCAACTTTTGTTTATCTGTGTCTTTCATGGAAATTTACTTGTATGTTTCTCCTTAAAATAGTTGCTGGATTTCATTAAACTTGTTCTGCAGTATAGAGTGTATTATATGTTGTATATAATAATTTAAATCTCAGACAGTAAAGAATTTATCTTCCCTTGTCTTAGGTATTTATAATACGTGTTAGAATAATACTTCTTTTTCACAGGAAATGGGTCGGCATGATGACCTCTGGTCACTCTTCTACATGTTGGTGGAATTTGTGGTTGGGCAACTGCCTTGGAGAAAAATAAAAGATAAGGTAAACCTAGAGGTGAAACCAGAGACCACAAAGGAGATTTAGTTCTCGATTGAAGGCAAATGCTGTGATAAAGATTCCACTAGGAATCACTGGTTCATTAATTTCAACATTACATTTTCAAGTGTTTTTTAGTGTTAGTTCTTGTTGCTGGTGTCATGGTATAAAAAGCAATCAAATTTTACAAATTGTTCTAGGCAGGAAGTAGATTATACTTCTAGTTTGAGAATATTTTAAAAGGCAAAATTAAGTGTATATTTGCCATTTATTTTATTATTCACGCTTTCAGTTGAGTACGTTGTTTCACCCGTCACACATTTAGAATTTCTTATCTGTTTTGATTATTTGTGAAATGGGCATTTCTTTTGCTGGTGAACAGAATGAATCAGGTAATATGCAGTAGTGCCTGTAGCCATATATCATAGGTGAGGTATGCAAAGAAACATCTAATTAATCTGTTACTGCTTCTTGCAACTTCTTTTGAGACCAGGTTACTTGCTAATGTGGTTTATGCTTTGGTAGATGACAATGCAATAAATAGGTAGTGTCTCCTTTTTGGTTTTGATTTACTCAACTTACATGACCACTAAAAAAAGTGGCTGAACTTCAGATGATGCAACAGGATATTTAAATCTTTAAAACATACTTTTTGGAAGGGTTGGAGTATTTAGTCCCCAATAAACAGCATAAAATTAAATGGCTTTTCCTATTGAAATTGCACATTATTTTGCAATTGTTCTGAGGGCAATGACAGAATATCTTACCTTGCTATCTGACGTAGAATGGCCTTCCTCAGTAGTATTCAGTGTAATGTACTGTCCTGTCTTTCTGGCTAGTAGTGTATTGAATGGTTGTAACCTATAGTTTGAGTATGTTGTAACAGAGAATGTTGGTTAATGTTGTTGTGTTACTTTACTCCTAGGAGCAGGTGGGCTCCATTAAAGAAAGGTATGAACACAGACTTATGTTGAAACATCTTCCTCAAGAATTCAATGTCTTTCTGGATCACATTTCTAATTTAGATTACTTTACAAAGCCTGATTACCAGGTAAACACTTTTACTGTTCTGTCTTTCTAATTTATAAATAGGAGAATGTTATGCTGTTTCATGTTCAATTTACTTTGATTTCATTGTGTAGTCTTGGTAGTTACTATGGATTGTGCCACCACAAAGTTATTTTAATGACCATCTGGTGCCACAGAAAATTTGTCGTTCAAAGGTGTAATCTTTTTCCATTTCGGAGGCATAAGACTGTGAAGTTTCTAAAAACAATTGACCGGTGCTTTTCAGTAAGTTTTCTGTTAGTATTGGGAGCTATCCTACTATCATAGCCTCTGGCGGATGCTCCGTAAGTTAAATTGATCAGATTCTTCTCTCAGGAACAGTCATTCTGGCAGTTTTTCAAAGTCTGTAACTGAACACCTAAAGCTAGAGCATGACATGCACTCGTGGTGGGTTTTTAAGACTGAAGTATTGCCTAAGGAGATCACTAGAAAACTAGTCATTTTTTTTTTGTTTCAGAGTGTATTGTCTTCTGAAATGGGCAATCTCTGCTTGGTGATAAGATGATAAGTGCTGAGAAGATATGCTGTAAAATATGTCTTACTCAATTAGTGTTGACCCATGATTAAACAATAAATATAGAACTTTTTTCTATACCAGTTTGTGGAAAGCAGCAGAGGAATGCTCAGAAAAAGCAGGGAGGGAGAGACTGAGAGTTTTTTCAGTCTGACAAACAGTGGGAGAGAGTGAACTGATCTAATAGCACACCATGACAAGTTGTCCCTGTGTGCCTTCCCTCTGGCTCCCAGAAACACATGTTCCTGCCAGCTTCCCACTAGTGTTATGTGTCTTCCTCTGTGCATTTGTTCAACTCACTAACTCCCTGAAACCAGGAGGAATGGTTTTCTGTTGGTGTGCAAGCTGAATTAATGAATAATTCTGACTAAGTTTGGAATTGTAACTTTGATAAGAGCAATTCCTGTGCTTTACTTGGTAAAATTAGCAGAGAAATCAGGATACGTAAGAATTGAAACAAGAACTGAAAATCACAAGAGATGACTAATTTTCTGTTAGTAAGTAGATTTCTCTAAATGTACTGGTATGTTCTTCTGCATATTTACAAAATAAATCAATATTTGTGCAAAAATTCAAATGTAAAAAAAAAGTCTTATTACAAATACAGGAAATGTTTAGCATTCCTGAAAAATAAATATCTTGATTTTTTTTTTTTTTTGTTTTCCTTTTCTGGTCCATGGAATTTATCCTGTTTTTCAATTTATCCTATGTTTTCAATTTTTTGTATGCCTAGTTATGAAGATGCATCAGATTTATTTTTTTCCTGTGGGAAAAATGACTGATTGCAGAAATTTTGATGTTGCATAGAAAAACCTTGATTATAGGTTGATAAACATGTTTTATTTACATTATATGTCCTGAAGGATAAAGCATATACACAGGCATATTTTTGCAAAACCTTTTCCTGTGGTTTGCTTCTATCTTACACAGCATATGCACTTGGCAATTAATGTGATAGCAGGACAGAGTTTTTCCATGGTAGAGGCAGCCCAGTTATTTACAATTCTGTAGTAGGTCATGGAACATTTGCAGTTGTGCATCTGCAGCCTGAGCCTTACAACCCAGTCTTCCTCCTGTGCTTTAGACCAGAGCAGGATGATTATATTTAGAGTGGTGAGAATGGTCTTTTAAACTCTGGTTTCTCTTAAGTAGTGTTTGCAGTGATGCTGTTCATGCCTTCAGTATGTGTCATTCTTTGTTTGTACTTAGGAGTGGGCACTGAACAAGAATGTATGTGCATCCCTGGTCACCATATCCCTGATTCAAAGAGTTTACAATCTAAAAAGTTTATTACATAGGCTCAAAGTCCACATTTGATTTGACTATGTCAGGTGTTTATTTTATTCAGATATTTGAACACACATTTCTGCATTGTAGCAGAAATTAATGAAGCGATTTAAAGAAGGATGATGTTAAGAATTCCCTCAGAGACAATGCTTAAGGTTTACAGGAAGAAGGGAATAAAACAGAGTATGTATGGGACAGAGTGAACTATGGCTTTGTGCACTTCAGTAGGATTTCTGTACTGTCTGGGACCGGTGGCAAATGGAAAGTTCTTGAGAAGAAGGATTAAATGGGTGCGACCACTCTATACAAGAAAAATCATCAACTTCCCATCTGTTTTAGGTTGCCAAATGATATGCCAAAGGAGATTGTGGAAATTTTTTCAGTATTTCAGTCAGCATTCTATAAATTAAATGATACACGGTCCTTAATGACAAAAATGTATGAATTAGCAAGTCAGTAGCCTTCCCTGCATACTTCTCATTCATGTCCTTGGTTTCTTGGTGTTACCAAATATTTTCGTTTCGCTTTTTCTGGAGAGCCATTGTATACTGTCATGGTAGTCATGATCCTCTATGTGTGGTACTTCTGTTTTTTATGGAAGTCTGTGGTACATCTTTGCCTCATTCCTGATAAAAACACAGATGTTCGTGGATTTTTTTCAAAAATAAAACAGAACTTTGTATATCTTGACTGAAATCTTCAAAAATGGGAAATGGTTAATATAAAGAACTATGTCTTTTGAAAATTGTTGTCACTGTTACAGTAGGATATTTCTTAATTGCTTGGTCTCTTAGACAAAAATGGAGCTTATTAACTTTTTTCTTAATTTTCAGCTTCTCATGTCTGTGTTTGACAACAGCATGAAAACATTTGGGGTTATTGAAAGTGACCCTTTTGACTGGGAGAAGAGTGGAACTGAGGGCTCTCTGACAACAACAACAACTTCGACCACACCTCAGTTACACACTCGTCTTACGCTGGCTGCAATTGGGTATGTCTGCACATTGTGGTTGCTTAAATAGCAGAGGGGCTTCCTACCAAAGGGAAATTATCTCCGTAATTCACGTATTTTCTGCAGGATATTGAATATTTGGAGGAAAAGAGGTTTGGGAGCATTTGAAGTATTTCTCTGTTTAGGGTTCCTGTCTATACTATCCTAAAAGATCAGTGCTGGAGTCCTAAAATTATGGCAATAAAAAAATAGTACTCCAGGAAACTGCATGTAAATTTGCTCATCCATCCTTTGCTAAATCATATTTTCTGAAACTAAATGATGTATCCTGAGTTTAACTGCCTGGAAATTGAACTGCCTGGAAATAAGCCCATTGCTTTCTGTAAGCTTGGAATAAACTTCTAGCTGCAATTTCCTTTAACTTTGAAAAATGAATGGATCTTTAGAAGAAATTTGGAAATAGATTTTGGTTATGTTTAAAATAATACTTAATTATTTTATTATGGTATTTGAGACATTCTCAAAGTTGGACATCGCGTGATGCTTAATAATACCCATATTCATCTCAGGGGACTGAAGAATACAAGAGATGTTTATGGATGAATATAAGATTTGTTTATGGGTGAGGAGGAAGACTGGGCCTTGAGTAGAACAGCTTTTATCTAAGAATCACAAAGGTGGGAGTTTCGATGATGTAGTGAGGCTGAAAACTACCAGAATTTAATATATTAAATTCTCAGTATTTTGAAGTAATTAAAAAAAAAAAAAAGGTGCTAAAGTAAATATCAGTCAAGACACTAACTGGTTCTGTTATGTAACTGTTAACATCACACAAGTATAATGTGTGTGCTGTTGAACATGCTGAGGCTGACAGTGATGTTGCATAAGATTCAGTCCCATTATTGCACTAAGCATCACACTGGAGCTATTGTTAGTCTTGGCTGCAATTAACAGTTTTGATGGCTGTAAAGGAATGGCTTTTAGTTGACCATCTGAGGATTCACTTTTTTAGGACTAGCATTGCTTCAGTTTCAGGTGTTGAGCTAAGCCTTAGCCCTATTTAGCCTCAAGTCAGAGGGACTAGAGAACTTCAAAGTGTAATGTCTTGTTAGTGTTATGCTTACCTTCTGATTATCAATAATTGGACCAAAATAGCACTTTGATTAGTGCTTAAAACTGCATTTAGTTTGCTGAGTAATCGTTCTTCCTCACACAGTATGTTTTGTTCTTCTACCAAACTTTTGGCAAAAGGAAACTATATTATAAAAGCTACCATTATTTTTTTTTAGTAGAAGAACGTGTATAGAAGTCAGGAGTGAAACTGAGCCCTGACATAACCTTTAACAAATTTTCTCAGAATTTGCTTCAAAAACATTCAAAAAACAAGCTTCTAAGTGACTTACATCTTTAGTTATGCACCTAAGTTAAAGAAGCATATAACATGAAAGCCAAGGAGTAGGGAGGTTTATACTACATAATCTACAAGGCCCAGTTTTCTACAGAAACATGTTTTGCCTTGTAATTTTTTGTTTGTTTCTTTTTTTTAAAGAACAACATAATTTCAGGAAACACATGAGAGTGTCAAAGTTTTTACCTTTCTGATTATTTTTTTGTAAACTATTGTTGTAGGATTGCCAATGCTACTCCTATCCCAGGAGATTTGCTGAGAGAAAACACAGATGAAGTATTTCCTGATGAACAGCTCAGTGATGGAGAGAATGGTATTCCAGTTGGTGTCTCACCAGAGAAACTACCTGGATCCCCTGGGCATCAGCGTCCTCAGGAAAAAGATGTTTGGGAAGAAATGGATGCAAACAGAAACAAAATAAAACTAGGGATCTGCAAGGTACTTACAAATCTGCATCAAGACCATCTATGAACAGTTTCCTGTCCGCATGGCAGTATCCATTTAATTCACTTGGTGGTTTTGTCTCCATAAGATAGCTTTGCACTGATCCAGAGGTCAGAAGAGAATCCTGCTTTATTTTCAGAAGTGATCTCTGAGAATTGGTTCCTGTCTCTATTACAATCACAATATTTCATACTCAGACAAATGTAGCCCTGTTTCTTTTTACAAAAATGCTTTTAACATGAAGAGGGATCTGGTACTAAAATGTACTTAACTAAGAGAGCTGTCCAGTTTTGAGACTGTTACTTCTTGTTTGTTAGAAAAATAAGGTATTGTGGGTAGGAATAAGGCATGGTGCCTGTTTTCAAGTGTGCCTGTCTGTTTGTTTTTTACTGATGAGGGAGAAAGGAGGTGGTTCTCGTTTAAACAAAGCCAATTTCTATTAATTATACTTGTAAAAACTAAGGATGATCATGATTTCCCAGCTCTAAATCATGTTCACTTAGTATATAAGAGGGAATGTGGTTGGACTAACACAGTTCTAAGTCACAGAAATATCTAGTAGATTTAGTGTATAGCAGTGTTATATGCTCCAGAGAATCAAAAAGACAACTTGGAAGCTAATTCTCTTTAGTAAGAGCACTTGACTGTAAAGCAGGCCGAAGACGCTGACCAAGTGCCAGGTTTCAGACTATTTTATAAAAAAAATTTCAGAGATGGCTGTGAAATATCAGAGCCAATTTAAGTGTGTTACAGGGTTTTTGAGATTCCTGTTCTCAGACCTGCTCAGAACTAGTATAGTACTAGTATTTTGTCTGTTGTAGGTGTGTGCTGAAGAGCATATTTAAACTACCTTAAGTAGGGTATGAACTTAAGAACCATTACAAATACAAATTCTTTTCACATGCTAGAAACCTGGGTGGTGTTCACCATGTAGTACCTTGCCTTCCTCTGTTTTGCCACTCCTAGTGGGTTAAATTTTTACTTTACAGGCTGCCACAGAGGAAGAAAAGAGCCATGAGCCAGCGAATGGAATGCTTAATGCACGGAGTCTCGGTTCCCCAATTCATGTTTGCTCAGAGACCATCCAGTTAGAGAGAGATGTTCCACTGGTGCGAAAGTTACGTTCAATTCACAGCTTTGAACTGGAGAAGCATATGACGTTGGAGCCAAAGCCAGATGCTGATAAGTTTCTTGAGGCCTGGTAAAGAAATAATTTTATTCTTATGCTTAGATCTTTTAAGGGTATTTAATTAGGATACTGTTACCTTTCATCTGCCATGTGAAGACCAGGAATGGAGCTGCTGAGTGTGCTCACGCAAGCTATAGCAAAGTATTGTTGGCAGCTTCTTTAAAAAAAGATTAGTGCTAGGATACAGTTAAAACTGGACTTCCATGCTTGAGAAATTTATATTTCAAGACCTAGTGGTGTAACCTTGGTGTTAATTAATTTTTTCTTCATTGACATACCTTTGACGGTCAGTACAACTCATCCTAAATAAGAATGATGACATCAGGTGCTCAGTAGAGGCAACATGAGATTAGAATATGTGACATGAAAAGGAAAGATTCAGGAAGTGGATTAAAGAAGTAAAGTTAGAAATCTACCTGCATGCAGCAGGTGTGTGCCCAAAGGTGTTGCACCAACATAAAAAAATCGTGATAGAAGACTGATGTCTTAAAATAGAATTTGAAGGTAGAGAAGAGACAGATGCATGCGAACGGATTCCATCAGTTTGCCTATGTGTAGAAAGAATACAGGGAGGAGACAGTGAAATCTGAATAAAAGGCAGAGGCTGAGCAGGGGCAGTAGAAGACAACTGAGGTGATGCCAGTGGCAAAATTCTTCTAGATACTTCATAGGGGAGTTAGGAATTTGAATTTGTTTGATGAAGCAAATTATGAAAAGCATAAGTAAGGAATCAATCAAAACAGTAAATAACATTCTCCTTGAAAGCATCTAATAACTGCTTCTGGAGACATCTGTTTCTTCTGTTATGCTTTGAGTCTCTGCTTTGTAACATAAATTAAATCCAGTGGACATCTGGCAGTAACCTTATCACTGAGTTTTTATCCACTCACTGTTCTCCCTTCTGTTAATTATATTTACAGTACAACATGATACATTACAATGAAAGTTATTATATGTGTAAATTTCTAAGACCATCTGTCCATTTTTACTTGACTTCTTTGTCTCAAATTGTGGATTTTTGAACCATTGTAGATTGTTCCAAAATAGGACAACAAATTTTTATGTAAATGTAGTTTTCTCCTACTGAAAAAATTCAAATGTAGCTTACATTATTTAATTAATTCTTAACTAATTCAGATATCAACTTCTTTTCTTAAGTTTGGAGAAGAAACAGAAAGACACGAATGCTGTGGCAGAGACTCCTGTTGCTGCTGTTCCTCCTCTTTCTCAGAAAACACCTATTCCTGCTACTGCCCGTGTGGACCATGTTTGGCACTATGATGAAGAATATCTTCCAGATGCTTCAAAACCTGGGTCAGCTAATTCTCCAGACCATGCTGATGGTGTTATTAGCAATGGATTTGTAGCTGTTAACTTAAACTCCTGCAGGCAGGAGGTTGATTCTAAGGAATGGGTGATAATAGATAAGGAACGGGACTTGCAGGACTTCGGGACAAATGAGGCTTTAGGACACAAGGTGACTGGAAGTCCCTCAGATGAAGAGCCAGAGGTATTACAAGTTCTAGAGGAGTCACCTGCAGAAGAGCAGTCCAGACAGGGTGTTTGTGCAGGAAACAATGTCCATGCCAAGAACCAGACTTCAGGGGTGGAGTTTGTTCTGGACATGGAGTGTCATCCTGCTGCTTCTGAACAGCTTACAGATAAATTGGAACTTCTGTCTGGAGCTGCTGGACAGCTTCTTGCAGCCACCCCTACGAGTCCTATGGAAGCTCAAGCAGAAGGAGCACTCACTCCGGTAAGAGAAACAGTTGCTGTTTTATTGAACCTCTCTTTATTCAGAATTATATGAGGAAATAGTAAATGCAGTGACTAAAATACAATAGTATAGCAGAAATTCCTAGTTTCAGCAAACACGGGACGTGATTCTTGAGGAATGATCTTCTGTGTTCTTGTATGAGTATTTACATTCACCCATGAAAGTGGCTCTTAATTCTGCAGGTATGGTCCACAGAAATGGCCTCAGTTAACTAGAAATTTTCTGTCTGTCTGTCTAAAGAAGTTCCTTATGCTATTCCTAATCAGTGACACACATGCAAACACATATTTATTATATTTGCAGTACATAAACATAAAATGACAATGAATATGTAAAATACTGTGCTACAGTGTTTCATGTGTTGCAGGAAGAGCCTAAGTGGCTGAAATTAAAGAAACAGTTGCTTGCTTTCACCATCATTGCTGTAGCGTTTGCTTTTGGAATTCCCTTAGTTTCTTTCTGTTTCTTCTGATATTTCTTAATGGTCCTTAAACAAACAACTGTGCTTTTATAAAGTATTGCTGCTTTTCATGTCTAAGATACTTTTGCAATTACTACTTTACTCCCAGAGTTTTCACTAAGACAGATTGCTTTGTTTCCATTGCATAGTCTTCCTTTCCTGTTTCTCCATCTTTTCTAAGGAATTCTCATTTGCACCATTTTTTAGCATTTACATTTTTCTCCTCTGTCTCTGTTTCTAAACAAAGATTTGTTTGTCATGACTTAAGGAGGAAGTGAGATTAATGTTAAATGATTGTGAATCAGTGCTTGGTTTTATTTCTCCCCTTTTCTCAGTAGATATTGTGTCATCTATGATGTAATGGTCTACTTTTTCAAGCTCCCTTGAGCCAAGAATTCTGGCAGTACTTCTTCATGACTTATTACCACATTTTGTGAAAGTTACAGCCAGCTCATTAGAAAAAGAAACTCACCTATTGTAAGGTGTGGATTATCCTTTATGCTGAAAAAAAACTACTCAATGTAATTAATTATAGATGCACAGTAAAATTTCAACTACACCTAGGTTCTCATGGAAAATGCAAGATTGTATCTTTCATACAATATAATATTTAGATATCATACTTTGAATTATGTAGTTTATAGAAGATTCATTTTGTATGAAAATACAGAACTGTATTAAGCAACAGAAGAATTTTAAGTTGAAATATCAGTTGATGAAATACTTTTTGATAGGTTAGCAACTTTTAAAGGTGAAAAATTAATTTGACCTTTTCAGTTTTCAGTTGTTCAGTTTCTGTATTTTAATGTAAGTTTTAGTAAAACAGACAAGAAAGAGCAACACTTGGTCCTGTACAAAGTGCTAGTTACCAAGTGGTTTTATTTCAAAAGCCATTAAAAAACCAACTTGCAGTTTTGTATGCAAATCCACTATCCCACTTCATACAAATGTGGCTCTTGTTGGGGAAATAACTGTTTTACTTAAAACTGAAGGTAAAGGTGGTATAAATATTATGTACTACAGTGCAGAGAATGAACAATATCTTTATCTGGAAAGGAAGAAGCTTCAGAACATGGAGTAGAAACAGTTGTGAATAAAGTTAATTAATGATAAGATATATTGGAAGAAATACTGGTTGAAGAAGAAAGTGAGGTGAGAATATATTTTAGTTTGACTTTGCAAGCAAGTAAGTGATATTTGCCCTGACCTCAAAAATGGGCAAATGAATATGGTTTATATTATCCTGGAAGGGCAAGTAGTGTTGTGAGAGCAAGAGAAGCAGTAGGAAGGAACTTGCTCTTTCACAGGGAAGTCAAGTGCAATTGAAAATATACACTGAACTGGGTATAAAGAAAACAAAAAAATTTGGCTGGTTTAGAAACTGGAAACTCTGTCTATGCAGTGCATCTATTCCAGCTGTGGTGGCAGTATGTGGTAGTCTTCTATCTCCTTAGACCTTGAGAGCCAAACAAAGCTCAAAAGGACATTTGGGGTTGTTCTTTTTGTTCTTTGTGGATGTATTTTTGATGTGTTGAGGCATTCCCCTTCATAAAGGACACTTGCACGTTCCTTGATACGGGTATTGGAATCTAGCTGTTCTAAGTGGGGAGTGTCCTAGTCACATCACAGGGAGAAAGCATATACATTCCTCTTGGTTCAGTAGTTCTCTCTGTTTAAGAGTCCTGGTGACTTTAGAGAATGCTTTGGTAGAGTTATTTTCCTTCTTAAACATTTACTGAAACCGTTCTTTGACTGTGATCATAGAATCATAGAATTTAAGGGTTGGAAAGGACCCTACAAATCATCTAGTCCCACCCCCCCCCACCATGGACAGGGACACCTCCTCACTAGATCAGGTTGCTCAAGGCCACATCCTAGTAGCTATTTCCATTTTCATCTTCAGTTTAAATTAAACAACAGTTTGCTCTGGTCACACTTGATTGACACCCTAATATCGTATATATATAAAAATACATACATATATACACACACACGTGTGTGTGTGTGTGTGTGTGTGTTATAGAACAGGTTTGACTGTGTGAATCTGTTTTTATTATTTAGAAATACTGCTGAAATGAACATTTTGTATGTTGAGGTACTGTTAGGTTTTATCTAAAGCTTGCTGTTAAATTTCCATTTATTTCTGAGTCATTTAATTTTTATATACCCTCTCTTCTCAATTGCTGCTTTTATGAGACAGTGGAAATATTTTTTTTTTCTCAGTTGCAAGTCAGTTATGCATTATGGGAACTGCAGCTTTAGTACTGACACAATTGAGAATACCTTTTCCTTAGAAACGAAATGGCCGGATAGGTGGTCGGAGTTTCCAAAGAATGCAGGTTAGAATTGCAAATACTGTGGTAGGAAACAGGTAGAGACATATGTGTTGTTGTGTGGATGTGCTAAGCATTTACAAGGACCAGTCAACAATCAACTAGTCAGCTATCATCTAGTGTACACGGTGTCCTTGAAACTGAATGTGTTCGTTTATTAAATTTGGCCTAGATTGTTACTGACCCGTTGTAACAGTTGCAACAGTTGGACTCCATGAATCTATGATTTTGTTTTCCAACCAAAATGATTCCATGATTCTAAGACTGACTGAAGAAGCCAGCTAGAGAAAAAATGCTCACTCTTGATTTTGATACTGGATTTTTATAAATGGATGATGGAAAACGTTAAAATAAGATGTAAGACACCTCTTAAATTATCAGCTTTCAGCCTCCGAGGGAAGTCTGGATATGGTTTCCTAAGAGAAGGCATATAGGCAAAACATAGACAAGAATCATTAAAATATTTTCAGCCTTATTTTCTTCCCCACCATGTTCTCACAGCTCTACTCATGTCATATGCTGCATTTCTCTACTCCAAGAATTTCAAGTCCCATCCTCCACACCATGAGCCCTACAGCCTGTCTGTCCATCCACTTGGACATTCTGAAAGAGGCTGGTTTACCAAGGAGTCAGTCAGGTTTAACAAAGAGTCACTCCTTCCTGCTCACCTGGTTGTAGGCAGCCTCCTGTCATTCCTTTGCCAACAAGTTCCCCCCTCTCCCTGTTCAGTCGCATCTTAAAAGCACAAGTTGAGCAAGTGAATAAGCCTTGTCTTCATAGAAGTGACTGCATTGAAGCAGTCATCTGCAAAGGTTAACATTTTCAGTTGCTCTGCACAGTCTGGTAGGAGGTATGTGCTAGTCATACTGCCATACACAACATCCTAAAAAATATTTTGTAAGATCACGTTGGAGAGTAGGAATGGATTATTTTCAGGGGTAGAGTCAGGAATACTCTGTGAGAAAGATTTATGGTCCCACTTAGAAGAGAGGAATATTTAAAGAGATGTTATTCAAGTTATGATCTAGAGCACCAAACATCTCCAGAGGTTCTGGAAGACAGATTCACTTTCTCAGAGGGATTTTCTCTTGAAAAAAAAGACAGGATTATAAAATCTGAGAAAAAACAATTTTTTCCTCTTTCAAAACTAAGATTAAAATCTCTCATTTTTAATGTGCTCCTATAATCAGTGCGAGGTGAATTTTTAATTGGGAACACATATTAGAATTTGGACTACCCTAAATTATTTTAATGTGAGAATAAAGGATCTAGAGATAGTCATATTGTTACTTTGGGAATGAACAAATAATGAATTGTTTCACTGCTTGCAGTATACAAAACAAAGATGGCAATTACCAGGGGTCATGGCTAATTGAAAAGGTCACTAGAGAAAAGGGACTTTTCATAGGGTTTTTTTTTCATAGTTTTGTATTCCCAGTTTCATTTCAGTATGAAAAAGATGAAGGCTTGGAACCATAATTGAGGTTAACTGTAATTTGTGTATTAGTCACAAAAATGTTAAGATTTGCTAAGCAGCATGAGCTTACATTGATGGGTAAAGCAGTATGACATAGCATTAATGGATAAGACTGCCACATATCATCATCATTTTACTATTAATATTTCATTTGGATTGTACTTTGTGTTGCCTTTTGTTTCTAATGTATGTTTCAGTATAAATATTTCTGTATTAAAGACTTTTTTTTTTTAGTGAAGCATGCACAGGAGTATTCATCTGAAAAATAATCCATCAATATTAGTTACTTTCAAAATTCCATAGGGTCAGTGGTAGTGATAACAAGACAAAGTAGCTAGTGTACCTATGTCACCATTTTGTCTTTTGACTCTATAAGCAGTGGTTTTTTACTGCAATTCCTGGCTGCTTTTCAGCTGAATATAAAAAAAAAGTTCTGCACTCGATGTATGGAAACAGGCAAACAGTAGCTCCTGATGTTCTTTGTGGTGAATTTGAAGGGATACCAAAATACCACATTCTGCATGATTGAGTATTGAGTAGGAAAAAGGACTTAGGAGAAATTAACTCATTAAAAGCTAAGCTTCAGTATTTTTCAGAATTAGTTTGTATCCCAGTGATGGCAAGAAAATCTGGAAAAGAACTACTCACAGGCTTGTATCTCTGAGTAGCAGGTATTTGTTTATTCAGTGCTGGGCACAAGGGGATCACTCCACCAAACTTGTGTGACTGGGGTAAAACACTCATAGTTTATATACATCAAATGCTCATGCATATTCATTATTTCCAGGAATGGGTGGTTGTTATTATTATAATTAGTTCTCAGAAATCATTATCATATTCTCCTCCTTTGTTTCCTCCTACTTGGCGTTGGTCCAACAGCCTCTGGTGGTCGTCCGAGGGTCTTCAGGAGGAAGGCTGGTAGCCTTCATCAGGTTGAACTTTCTACCTTGGGGTTTAACACATGCTCTATGGTCCTGTATTCCTGTTGCTAGTTTTCAGAACTGGTAGTTTCCAGTTTATCTTCCTCTTTTCTCCTTGTCTGCCAGGTTTGTCATCCTTTTATCTTCTGGGTTTTTTTACCATTTATGTCCATTTGCAGCTTAAGCATTCCTACAAGTATGCTAATTTAGGTTTACAAATATGCTAGTGTAAGCTGTTCTAAAGAACATCCTGATAAAATGCTCTTGCTATACGATGTTTTGCCATGAAAGGCTTTGCTGTAAGATGCTTTGCTATTTTACAATGTTTTCTCTGTATCACCAGGATGCAAAATGACCTAATTTTTTTTCCTGTGTGTCTGTGATTTAAATTTTCCAAGCAGAATCTATTGCAGGTACAATTAGCAAACTAGTAAACTGTGCACAATGCTCAGGGAAAGTAAGTTGGCACAGAGGGTCTTCTCTGAGTTTCTTAGTACCCAGCAAACAAATACAGCTGCAATATTAAAAGGGGCTGCAAAGCATCATGTGAGAGAGTTGGTATTGTGCCAGTTGCTGCTACTTAGCAGAGTGAGCATATGTAGCATTCAGCCCCTTCTTTCTTTTGACCTGGTAAGTCCATGACTGCTGTGTTCTTTTCTGAGTTGTGATTGTGGAAGTCCTAACTCTGTTGAGAATTGAACTTCCAGCTTTTAATTTGCTACGGAAAGAATTTTAATGTCATTTATATAATTCTGTATAAATATTTGGTACTGAATACATTTTCACAAAATTCCTAAAAATTTTGTTCAGCATTCATAACTAATTGGTTGCAGAGGTCAGGGATCTGTGCTGTTGAATTTAGTTTCATGTATGAAAAAATAAAAAATGATACTTTATTTTCTGAAATCAAGCAAACCAATTTTCTCTCTAGATTTTTGATGAATGAGAATTCAGGAACTAAACTTTGATGGAATCAGCTGTGTTATAGCACATCATGGAGCTGTGCTTTACATTTATCATCACTCCTGTTCACAGAGGCAAAACTATGTAGCATAACAGGCTGCCAAAAGTTATAGGTATTTTGATTTTTAAAAGATAAGCTGGATTCTAATCACATCCTTTGTGACTATAAAACCTTGTGTACAGAAGAAAGAATACATGAAAAAATACTGTAAGAAAAGGGTAAGACCTTTAGTATAGATGATATTCTATCTCTGTGTCTGTCTTCTGTAAAGGATAGCTGTCAAGCATGCTTATAAGCAACTGAAAGTAGCTAGTTCTTTTTGTGAATTAGTGCTGTTGGTGGAGTGCACTGTGGGCATGCGAAGACACATAATGCTTTCAAACAGGTCCTGACAATTCAGAGGAGAGGTTTAATAAAATTTTAATTTGGATTTCAAGATTGAAAATGGAATTTAATGTGTACAGTAATTTTAATCCTGCTAAAAAAAAATCTGTATTTATACTTGCATTGTTTCATCAGTTCTTCCAATAGGTTTGATTTGTCCATGGAAATTTTAATGTTCACAGATTCTCTTTCTTGGGAATGTAGCACAGCTGTGGGAAATGTGCTAATATAGTGCTGATTTTATAAATGGATAGAACTAGATTTAATTTATCACAACACACAAATGAGTGGATCCACTGGCTGACTGGAGGATCAGAAGTCAGGAGTTTCATCAGTTCTTCCAATAGGTTTGATTTGTCCATGGAAATTTTAATGTTCACAGATTCTCTTTCTTGGGAATGTAGCACAGCTGTGGGAAATGTGCTAATATAGTGCTGATTTTATAAATGGATAGAACTAGATTTAATTTATCACAACACACAAATGAGTGGATCCACTGGCTGACTGGAGGATCAGAAGTCAGGAGACTTAATTTTGGTGTGTTTTTTAAAAAAATGTGTTGTTGGAGCTTTTTTAAATTTTGTAGAGTGTCATTGTTTAAATATGAAGGATATTTTTACCTTTAAAAGAAATCAAAAGTATAGTGTAAATAACAAAACTGAAGCACAAATATAGCACAGCAGTAACCTAGAATTAGATAGGTGTTCATAGGAATTGGATAGAAACAGAAAAAATAGATATATTTGAAATCTGCACGTGGGTATTAAGGCATCTTCTTTATATTATATTGTTAATTCATCTTATGTATGAATTACTTGATGCTCATGATGACCCTTTATTGGAACTGACATGTTGAAGAGAAATACTTAGAATTAGTCTAAACAATAGTGGCTATTGTGCATAAAAGCACTTTTAGGTTAGGGTCCAAAATGCATTAGCTAAAATAAAGATTTTATAGTATAGAAGTAATTTTTTTAAGAGAAAAAAAATTGTCTTCTCTTTCATTCAGCTTTATGCCTGTGATTTGTGTTTCATGTTTTGTTCTAGAGAACTCTTTATACTATTTGTGTTTCATGGTGGTAAATGTGCACCCAAAATTATGGAAATTTTGTTATACAGGACTAGGAAGAAAATGTAGAAAAAAAAAAAAACAGGAATGTCAGCTAATATACACTTATGGGAAATCTGAGTGTATCTCCTTCGCTGTCAATTCCCATTTCTTATTTTAGGGAGTTGTTCTGTATTTGTAAAGTTTGAGTACGCAGTATAAATTGTTAGGAGTCCTGACAGATGAGCTTGGTTTCTACTGCTAAATAGTACCAATGTACTAACTCCTGCAAAAGCCCATTAAGCTCAGCACCATGTGTAATTTCTGTATGGGAAATCTGAGTGTATCTCCTTCGCTGTCAATTCCCATTTCTTATTTTAGGGAGTTGTTCTGTATTTGTAAAGTTTGAGTACGCAGTATAAATTGTTAGGAGTCCTGACAGATGAGCTTGGTTTCTACTGCTAAATAGTACCAATGTACTAACTCCTGCAAAAGCCCATTAAGCTCAGCACCATGTGTAATTTCTGCAGTAAAGTCAAGTGAAATCTGCCTCATAACATAGCAGAATCCGAGCAATTCTAGAAATATACTATTCACTATATATGTCTCCTCTCCATAGATATCTATTTCTTCTACCATTAGTGCATCATGAAAGTGTTTTTAACCAAACTCTAGTCTTCCACTTTCTGTTGAGTATTGCAAACTCAAACTGTGTCAGATTCGTGAGGCTAAGGAATACAAAGAAAAAAAGGAGCTGAACTCTATCCATGTAGAGAAAGAGATAAGGGTAGCCCCTTGAATTTTTTTTTTAGACTGTTTATACCAAATGTCTCCATCCAGTATGTATAAACCAGATTCTAGGACTCCTCTTCACGTGAGAGTGCATTTCTCCCATATCCATAGAGATAAAACTCCTCTCCCATTTGTGTGCTCTCTCACCATTCTTTCATTTCTGTCTGTGCAATGCCCTGTCTTCAACGGGAGGGGTGAGAAGTAACTCCATTCTGGTATTGCCCCTACATTATGGTAACTGGGGGAAGTGGGGAGAGACATGAATGCAGGTTTCCCATTTCCTGGACATGTGCTCTAACAATTAAGCTGTGTGCTAGAGACAGCAATCATAACCAGAGTCCCTTTTCTCAGAAGGACTCAATCATATATGTTGGTTCTAGGAGAGCTTTGAGCATGTCAATTGGATTAGGCCCATTAGGGAATTTACAGAATATTTAGTTTGTGACTCTCTTAATGACCTTAGGTATGGAGATATCCTGACTGGGTTGCTTAGTTAAAACTAGGCATAAGCTTCAGTAGG